GACAAGTAGTTTGTCAATTTGAGCCAGCCTTTGCATTCTATAACAATAGCGAGGTTCCGAGAACGTTATTAGAATTAAATACACCTCACTAGCTGTCTGGCCATTTATGCACGAGGTGTTTCGTAATCAAAATGTCCTCAGAATACGATCGCCGAGCTTCGATTATGGAGGGCCTTGTCGCCTGGCACAAAACCAAGGAGATAATTGAATGATTTAATTACCCTAAAATCACGAGAAGGCTATTGTTTTTAAATCTACTTTATTAAAAAAGTAAATTTCTTTAAGATTTACTTTATTAAAAAATAATTAAAATCAAAAAACCGGTACATATTTTACATAATGCCTTTTCAAAAGCCTTACTTGAAGAAAAAATATTCATTTTAATCCTGAATAAATTATATTTATTCTGTTATAAAAAAAATAATTATGTTTTTCTGGTGTTGTGTTGTCTGAGTCCTGAGTTGTCTGAGTCCTGAGTTGTCTCAGTCCTGACTTGTCTCAGTCCTGAGTTGTCTCATCCCTGAGTTGTCTGAGTCCTGAGTTGTCTCAGCCCTGAGTTGTCTGAGTCCTGAGTTGTCTGAATCCTGAGTTGTCTCAGTCCTGAGTTGTCTCATTTCTAAGTTGTTTCATTCCTGAGTTGTCTGAGTCCTGAATTTCTCCTTCCTGAGTTGTCTCAGTCCTGAGTTATCCCGACGCTCAGTCGGCAGTTTTAAGCTGGCGGTGTTGAGTTTTCATGCATCCCTAAAATCATGCACTACATCCATGCAAAGGCATACGGTGCCTCAGACGAAAAGGACCATATTCAGGTAAGGACCACACAAAGGTGTGGGGTGTGCGACAAATGAAAAAATGAGGCCCGTCTATTCATATATTATACATAAAAGAAAGGTATAAAACCCAAAGAAATCCATGAAGGCATGGCACAGACTCTTGCTGAGGACACCCTTTCTTATGCAAATGTAAAAAGAGGGTTTCTGATTTCAAGCCGGGGGCAGGGACATTACAAAAGTTGACTCCCGCTCAGGTCGTCGTAAAACCTCAACCCCTGATGAACAAGTTGATGTCAATCACTGTATGGTTTTAGATTACAGACGTCTTACGTAGCTAAGTTCATAGGAATTAGTTCTGGTTCGGTCCATACTGTTTAAACTGAGATCTTGGGGGATGAGCAAGCTGTCCGCAAGATGGGTCCCAAAAATGCTGACGCCGGAACAGAAGCAGAAAAGGATTGACATTTCCAGGACACTTCAGTCTCGCTTCCAGGCTGACCATGTTGAATTTCCACTGCACTTTCGTAACTCAACTATTAATAGACAGTTCTATGCATCAGAATTAAGACAACTGAAGGAAGCAATCAAGTCGAAACCCAGAGGGAAGCTGAGGGCAGGGGTGCTCTTGCTCCAGGATAAGCCACTCGTCCACACTGTTCAGGTTACAGTAGCCAACTGTGACTTTAAATTCCCTGCTTACTCACCAGACTTATCTCTATCTGACCTCTTCCCGTTTCTTAAAACCAAATCCCGCCTGTTTGGTCGCCATTTTGAAAACAATGATGACGGCATATGTGTTATGGAGGAGGCTTTGGAGAACCACTTTCTTCCGTGATGTGATTGCAATGGTTAAGCATCTTTGGACCAAGTGAATTGACGTCAAGGGGGACTATATTGAAACAGTGAAAGAATTGTCTTGTTCCTCCAACTTCTTCTGGGCGAGGCTTAAAACTTTTAGACCGACCCTCGTATATACCCAAAACATATTTAAAAAGATTCTTAGTGCCCTCGCCTTTCATACGTGCGTCTGTATCGTGGCATTCAAATTAAATATCACTTAATCCGATGACGTCCGAAATGCGTCATACAAATACTTTATCCACTTTGCCGTAGTTGTATGTGCAACTGTCATATCTATATCCAAGCGTTATATCAACGTCGCTACTTGTTGTGTTTCAAGCGTTGAAAAGATACAAGTTAATTCTATGCAGTCAAATTGTTTTATAATTTATTTTGTTTTCGTAATATATTGTAATCTCTTTGATACCGAGATTTGTTTATAGCACAATGAGTTTTTAAATATTGCTGTTCACCTCTATACCCAGGCCCAAAAGCCACTCAAAGTAGGGGATTACTAAAGAAGGCTGTAGCGGGTTAAAAGTGCAGTTTATGATGATATGTGGGAAAGTTAAACCTAGACGAAGAGGTTTAGATTGTAGTGGTGGGGAAAACATCTCCTCGGGAGTTGTTTCCACAAAGTAACGATTCATCGGAAGAATCTGTCCGAATAGAAACTTTTTATTTTCTTAGGGTCAAGCCTTTTGATAAGTATTATGACTTCATGGACTGTGATAGAAATATTACTAAGTTTGTTCTCTGTGAGAGTTGTGGAGAGCAAGGACCCTTTCGTCTAACATGGAATTAAAAGCAGTCGTTGTGGCGAAGAGCTTTGGCTTATCTGACGAGGATGAGATGCCCTCAAAACCATTTGCAATAGTAGCCACTGACCCTATGCCTCTATTGAGCATTTAGTTAAAGAGTTTCGAGAATTCCCGGGATCCAACTCTTTTGCTTTCGACCTTGGCTTAGACTGCTTGCGCATAGCCTCAGTTTGAATTTTCTAGAACTGTCTTACGATGATGGGTTTGATATATCTGTTTGGTTATGTCTAGATGTCAAATATTGTTACAGGTAAAGACGGGATAGCGAAACATTCACACCCACAATTAATGCAGGTATCGATAACCTGGATTGCATTGTCCGAAAGTAAAATCGTCACTGTATACTCCATCATGGCATCGAGAGGTCCCGTCACTGTACGATCCAGACACCAATCACGATATGGCAGTACAGTAGCCCCGATGATATACACCCTTGTGTATATTAATTGAAACAAAATGAATAATTCCGTTATCATTTACTTTTTTTTTGCATTATTCCAGTGAAACATGACTAAATACGCATGTTACTACTTCGGATGTCCATTACACAAAGTCTTTCCTTGCAGACAAACCACAGATTCTCGATTGGATTTAAACCAGGAGAATTTCGGGCCAGTCTATAGTACTTTAATTTGATCACTGGTAATGATTGCCAGTGTTTTCGTGCAGTGTTACAATTTTCGTACGCTTCCTTGGAGTGACGTCCATCGCAGACCATGACCGTAGGACAACTAATCGACAGTCGAGACAATAGTTTCTGGGTGTGATGAAAATCTGATGCAATCTTCCTTGACGCAATTTTTTTCAAGGCCGAACAAATTTCATCATACACCCCGAAAATAGATTCCTATTACTGCACACTACTGCGTATGACCTAATCTGAAGAAAAAATAGAAATCGATTACACCCTGTGGTGTAACCTAGGGAAAGTTACTGAATAGAATAATCACGCGAAGGTTGGTGATGAACGATAATATTTAGGACAAGAACAGCACATATAAGATTCGCCAGCGGCATGTAGATGTAGTCAACTGCTAGAAGTGAGTCAAGTGAATTCCACAATGAATCTTCAACTACAGGATATCTACCAACCGTCACACGGGGTCAGATGTGGCACAAGGCTGAATTTAATGTGGGGTATCTGAGCATGTATGCCCGACCAATTTCTCCGTAGACACCGTATAAAACGGGGTTTGGTAGCTGTTACCCGAGAAAAAGATCCTGTGCTTCGACATAGCCTCATCTGAGCATCCTCTCGGCTCGGAGGCAGAGAGTTTGACCAGTACAGCTGGAGACGAATCTCAAACACTATACCACGTACAGTATTCACTACTGTATTTATTGGAACGGGAGGGATACCTGTTATCGTCCGTAGGTATGCAACAACACAACTGAAGAAAAAGATTTGCCTACTTACCTATGGACTGTTTCCCCCTGAAGCCCTGGGCGTATGTTCTGGAGGAATTTGGTTCAAGGTTGAAAAAAAAATAGTTACGAGTACGTTCGGAGAACAGGATAGAAATATCCAAATTTTTATAAGTTATTCATTTTTTATGGTTTATCACTCCTTTACGACCAGAAAATATTTTAAGTTGTAAGATTTTTTTCTTTCTCTCTTTTTTTTTTTTTTTTTTTTTTTTTTGAGATAACATTGGTTTACTGATCTAAGTCTTCCTACAAATCTGTGTTTGCGTAAAATTGTAGAAATATCAGGGATGGGTCCATAGAGTTGTGATTTAGATTTGTCTCCAAGAGATGTTAAGTATTGTACTCAGGGTCCGATGTTAAGTATAGTTCTCATGATCCGAATCTTTAAGCTTAGACTCTGGGGTTTTAGTTAATGTCCAAGCAATGGCACCATACATTCAAATCGTCTCTACAGTGACGCGAAAGTATCTCCGTTTGAGGTTTTCTTATAAATCAAATTTTCAGATTACATCGATGATATTCAAGGCCGTCTAGGATTTAGCTACGAGAATTTTCACCTGCTTTTCTTACCGCTTTAGTAATCCTCTACCTTGAGTTGCTTTTGGGCCTTGTATACAGGCGAACAGTAATATTTAAAAAAAAAATCATTGTACTATAAGCAATTCTCGGTATCAAACTTATTACAATATTTTACGAAAATAAAATAAATTTTCTTCTAGTTGGTCAACATTTATCGATCTTGACAACTGAAGAAAAAGAGTTACCTACCAACCTATGCACCTTTCCCCTCTAGAGTCCTGGGTGTATGTTTTGGAGGAATTTGGTTCAAAATTAACAAAAATACAGTAACGAGTACGTTCTGAGAACAGGACAGAAATACATGATTGATTGATTTGTTTTTTTACGGTTTATCAACACTTTATAGCCAGAAAATATTTTTAGGTTGTAAGAATTTGTTTTTGAGATAACAATGGTTTACTGATACAAGTCTTACTATTTAACCCATTGTGAGGAGAAGTGGTGGCTTCATACATTTCCCAAGGGTATTTGTGCGTAAGTGAATATAGCTCGACTGGAATTGGAACTCTGCTCCCCGATTAACAATGCCGAGACAGTATCCAGTACACCACACGCAATTACGCTTACAGCACCTGCTATTCTCAAGAAATTACCCATCGAGGTACTGGCCAAGCTGGATGTTGCTTAACTACGAGGATTGCACGGGAAGCGGTGTTTCAACGTGATATGGCCGTAAGCTTCCATAAGATACATTAAATACAATAAATAAGTAAATAAAATAAAAGAAACATTCATTTCAGAATACGTCAGTTGTTATCGACCAGTTAAAAACGCGTATCGATGCGTGCATGCAGAACAAAAAATGCATTTAAAAAAAATATTTAAAAATAAAACACCATACAATTTTCTAGGAATAGTATGCTCCCACCTTTTCCTTGGGTTTACCTGTCGTTCGGTCCACACTCCTCCGTGGCCTTTTGAACAGGAGTCGAGGTTTATCCATTGTTTCTTGTTGAGGATTTCGGTCTATGGTTCATTCTAAAGTAATTTATTTAAGTAAAACAATGACTCAAGTGTCCCCTGGGCCGAACACAGGGTAAATATCAATGTAAAATAAAATAAAAAACATAACTTAGCCAGAACGTTATGGTTGCCAGTGTCTGAACCCGAATTATCCTCCCAGCTACGGATTAAATAATGGGAGCTGCATCAGGAAAAATAATTGTCATAGTTTAAAAAATTGTTAAAGGCAGGATGTGTGTGTGTGTGTGTGTGTGTGTGTGTAACGAATGCACGGTCGCAATTTTCGACAGATTTGCACCAAAATTTACATGCACATGCTTCAAGTTAGCTGGAAGATCAAGACCAACTTTGTATTTCCCAACTCCCATCGATAGTGGAAATAATCGATTTTTCATGCTTCTACGGCATTTTTCATGTAGTTTGTGGCCATTTTCTACTAGCCAGAGTGAGAGTATATAACTGGCTGCCACGAATAGGCAGGAAGATTCTATTGGCCAGCGTGAGAGCCAACAGCTGACTGACACGAATGTTAACTAGCATGCTAGCATGCAAAAAAAATCGATCCTGCATTCGTCACAAGTGGGAAAAATTTAAATCTGCATGGCACTTTACTCCAATTGGCTCATTCGCTTGCTTAAACTCAACGTTGATTCTGATTCCGCAGAACTGGGTTGGGTGTGAAAAAGTATTTGTTGTTAAAATTCTTTTTTCATTCGGTTTTTCCAGTTACGAGTTCTTTTTAAAGCTGATCGTTTTGTGTTCATTTTGTTTAGTTCTTTTTTCGTAACAGATTTAATGTTTAGTATAGAGCTTAGAAAAGATGTAAAAGAAGTAAAGCATATAGCAACATTAGCACGGCAAAGGGCACTCCTTTAAAGGCAAGGAAGGGCAAAAATATTTTAAGTCAAGTGATAGCGATTGCTGTATGAATCGTACGATTTTTGAATCAAGCACGGGCAACGCCGGGCCATGCTGCTAGTCATTGATACAATCCAAAATATATTTCCGTATTAAATAGCCCACAAAATTTTGATAACTCGAAATAGACAAGAACAACAATCAATATCTGTCTATATTTCTGAGATGAGGTATTATATACACTATTTACATTATTTGGGCTATTGTCCTCATCTTTGTTGCCATATTTATATAAATGTGATAGTGAGAATACGTTTTTCGTGGAACTATTTCAGCAAATGCAATTGTCGTAGTCAAATTATGCAACACGTGCGTGTTCATGTGCGAGTAAGCCTCGGATGCTGCAAAAGATGGTGGTAAAATTAAAGCTAAAATTTAATTTAGTAAAAAGACCGCCTTCAAAAATGACACTACATAATCTGCCTTTATGTACTTCACATACACTTATGTAGAGTAATCTGAAACTAATGCACACGCATATTTAATGAGATAGATAGATAGATAGATAGATAGATAGATATCGAGAATGGGCATAGAAACGAAAGCTGAAAATTTCTCGGCACAACCAATTTTCTTATTTTGGCCAAATACAAATGCATCAAACATATGGCTCAAACGTCAGATTAGAACTTTTCAGCACCCCTTAAAATACTGATATATACATATACACACACACACACACACATATATATATATATATATATATATATATATATATATATATACACACATGAGGGAAAGAACAGATAGAGTAAAATTCCACTGTTCGTAGCATTTGCTTTTAAAAAAGTGCTCAATACAAAGTAGAGCAATATATTATTATTATTTTTATTATAAGAGATTAGATTAAAAACATTTTGAAATAGCTCCACAAAAGCTTTCATGTTTCAATACTATGATTGCACTTCGTCAGGCGATGGTAAGTAATTGAAAGCTTTTGTGTAGCGATTTCGACGTGTTTTTATTATAATCTCTTATAATATATATACATTATCGGTAATTTTAAACATATTTTATGGAACCCCAAAGACGTGTCACTCAGAGTAAACATCGACATCTACAGATCAGTCGTGCTCTCAACCCTTGTCTGTGGTGCTGAAACTTGAACCCTGTACTACAAGCACATAAATCAACTTGAAGCCTTTCACATGCCCCGTCTTCGTGCCATATGGGATATAAAATGGGATGACAGGGTTAAGAATAGTACAATACTGAAGAAATGGAAGATTGAAACCATTCTAGAAAAGATACAACTTAGGTGGGCTGGTCATGTTGCGAGAATGGATGAGCAAAAAAAGGTGCTGTATGGACAACTACCAAACTCCAAGCGTTCAGTTGGACGTCCACTCTTACGTTACAAAGACAAATTGAAAGACAACTTGAAACGTCTCAACTTTGATCTGAAAATCTGGGGAGTCCAAGCATCAAACCGAAATGAGTGGCGTAAGACATGTTTCATTAAGTTAAAGGGTTTTAAAGACAGTAGACTGAAGCATCGTGATCAGCTTCGCCAAGCTCAGAATCAGAGACGCCATCAAAATCCTGCTTTAACTAATTTCATCTCTCGGTGTGGCTTTGTCGCCTGCAACTGGTCTAGTGTCACGCTTAAGAAAGCACAAATGAAATATGTCTTCCCCTAACCTGATTTTCTCCACAATAGCCCCTGCTAGCATGCATAAGTGTAAAACTAAAGGCAACATATAATGCTGACCCTTATTTATCGTTAACGATAGGAGGGTCCACCATAAATATATATATATATGTGTGTGTGTGTGTGTGTGTGTGTGTGTGTGTGTGTGTGTGTGTTTGTTTGAAAAGTGTGTGTATATAAATATAAATAAATACATATATATATATATATATATATATATATATATATATATATAATTATTTATATATTATTAGAAAGCGCTCAATATCAGAGATAGAGCTAACATATTTGGTTGGATTGATGTGAGTTTGTGACCCTGGGTTTCACGCTTTTGCGACCGCAAAAGGGTGAAACCCAGGGGTCACATCAATCAACCAAATATATATATATATATATATATATATATATATATTTGTAATTATTTTTTTAAAAATATGATTCCTTCTGATTTTTAAAAAAATATGATTCCTTCGCTTATTCCTAAATTTTTGCTTGAGGATGAAATAGGGCTTGTTACCTTAATTCAATTTACTTTTGAATAATTATATAGATGGTTTCGGCTCTCGTTTTTGAAACATGAGAACTCTTATGTAGCGAAGGAATTATATTTAAAAAAAAAACATAATTATAATCTAAGCTCTACTTCTGTATGGAGCACGGATTTTTTTAAAATAAAAACAAAAATACTAAAGAACCCTGGACTACTTGGCTAATGTGTTCTTTCCTATTTTCTACATACCTGCGCGCGCACACACACACACACACACACACACACACACACACACACATATATATATATATATATATATATATATATGAGATAACGATATATAAATTTCATATATAAAGAACAATATTGGAGAAAGAATAAAACAATTCACTACGACGAAAATATCTAGAGAGTGCCTTGATCGCAAGGTCACACACAGTAAATTTGCGCCCTACCTCATACAACATTTCACAATTCTTGACAGATCTGTTATCACAGTGTCGGATAGCTACTAACAAAACTGAAAGAAAAAGATCTAGATTATATATATATATATATATATATATATATATATATATATATATATATATATTAAGACATTTTTAGGTTTATACATTCTTTTTAATAGATAAAAGGACACTCCTTTAAAGGCAAGGAAGGGCAAAAATATTTTAAGTGATAGCGATTGCTGTATGAGTCGTACGATTTTTTAATCAAGCACGGGCAACGCCGAGCCATGCTGCTAGTTTTCATAGACTATATTCGTCCTCCGACAGGAATCGAACCTCTATCCTATCACAGAACCATCATATAGCCTGACGTGCTTTACCGATTTAGCCACAGAGGAGCGTTTCGGTTAGCAAGGTCTATTTTACTGTTTTAAACTACAGTCGGTAAAGCACGCAGGTTACAGCAGTTGCAGGAGATCCAGGCCTCCCCCTCCTAAATTCAGCTGCCTACTTTTGCCATATCAATAAAGTAATGTAGCATGTCACAATGAATGTCCTTGAGGTTGAACCCTTTTTAATGCAAGTGCTTGATAGTCAATTAACACAATGCCTTTTGAATATCACAAAAACCAAAGCCATCATCAACCCTGCAGATGAAACAAACTTGGCGTTTAGAGCAGGTAGGTGGGGTGTGATGTTTCCCCTTCATGGAATTTCTCGTTTTCTCCGGCTCAAAATGATCAACCAACTACTCATTCTGGGTTAGGAATTGTCCAAGGAAACTATCTGGATATGTCTTGGACAATGTGAGATTTTCCTGTGATTTGATCAGCCTGGTGCACTTTTTATCAGGTGTCAGAAGACGTGGCACCCACCGAGAAGAAACTTTCATTATGACAAATTCATTGTGCAGAAAATTCTTAACTCTCTTACGGGATATACTAATAGAATTGGATGTCATCCATCACCATGAGGTGAACACGATCAATGTTTTCCTCGCTGGTGGCAGTTGCAGGCCCTCCAGAGCTTCTCAAAACTCTCCCTTCCTCACCTAAATTCAGCTACCCAATTTGCACTGTTGGTAATGCCCCCTTATGTAGTAACCATATCAATATGAATTTCTTTGAGGGTACTGCAGGTATTTGATAACACCAAGATGCCAAAATGTGTTTATTTTTAAGAGAAGTCGCTACTAGTTACCTTTG